GTGGATCATCAAGTGACCCATGTGAACGGCTTTTGCTGTTTCTCTGTCACTTTTGCTTTCACCCATAATATAACGCCATGCACCGTGAGGATGTTCCTGTGATATTACTGGAAATTTACAGGATAGGCTAGATCTAACGGAACATTATATTATTATTCAGGTCTACTCCACCTCACCCAAAGGTAATTTCCGCCCATAACGCTTGGAGCTCTCGATTTCATTTAGGCTACATTACATGAATGTTTTTCTACCAAGGAAACGGTCCTTTCGGACATGGACTTTAAACTCGGAGGTCCCGCCTCTTAAATGACCTAACAGTGTTGATGAGGTAGTTAAACCTATTCTATTTCCCCATTTTTCTACCAAAAAAAAAAAACAACAACAACAACACACAACAAAAAACAACACAATCAACCAACAAAAACAAAAACAAAACAACACGACCCCAACACCACCCCACCCCCCCAAAAAAAACAACAACACAACAACAACCCAACACGAAACAACATCAACAACAAAAAACAACAATCAAGAAACAACAACAAAACAAAACAAAACAAACGAACATCAGAAGAGCAACATAACAACACTAACACAAACACAACACCCAATTTTACATCGCACTGTTAGAGTATGAGTAGGAACCTACCTAATAGCTAACAACATTCTGTCATATGCATCGCTGTCTTTCTGTCTATCACATGGCTACTTGTTGATAACATCACGGTAAGAAAAAAGTCGAAGAGGCCAAGGTACAATTACTATCTAATGAGTACATAGAAAATTGTAAGAGTCCTGTCGAAGTTTTCTAAGTATGAGGCTAAGTGGGTAAAAGTATGAGCCTGTAGGTCTGCAAGAAGTATGGTGGGAAGCTCAAATGATTACTGTGGAGTAGCTTATTAATGCAAAGAAGCGCCCGAAACAATATTAATAGTTGCCATCTCCCTTCAGGGTTTGGCTTTATCAAATGGGTGTTTTTTTTGGCTTTATCAAGTGTTTTTTTTTCTTGTGTGGATAACATCGCTTCCTGCAGCATGCGTCTTAGTTGCCTTTCAAGCATCACCGAAAAGCAAGCATAATAACACGCTATAACACCTGGCCTCCCGCTACAATAGCAACCATTATTCAACAGCTGCACTCTGCTGGTCATAATTATAGTAATACATAATGCAATTTCCAGCAACCACATTCGGTTTATGGCCGTGCGTGTGGGTGCTCAAAGTGTATGTGTGTGTGTATAGCCTAGGCCAAGTATTATTAATAATAATACGCATAGCCTGTCATGCGTCTCTATGTGGTGATCCGTAATTGGTTATCTCTGACTGGCGAATCAAAAACGAGCAACCAAACTTAGCCTAACATTCCTCTCTGATCACACACATTCTGATAATTTGACATTTCACAAAGACGACCTGTTTTAGGTCATAACTTCGTTGTTCATACAGTTTTTTTCAATTGTTTTCTTTATCTGAATTCTAAAAAGGCAGGCAGTTCGCTACGTCTGAAAAGAGTTAAGATAGGATTCAGCAGTTTATCAGCTTTTACAAAACTTAAGCTCGAGGTACGAAGGGAAACAACCGTGTAATAAATTCTCTGGTTACTGACGAAGGAGAGCGTTCAAACACGCTGAAGAATACGTTACCTGGCAGAATAAAAGGTCTGCATGACATTTGGAGGGTGCTCATGTAGATTTTGAGTGATTGTGCAAACATCCATTCAATTGCATTTGAAAAAAAATATACATAAGTGTGGGAGAGCTGCATATAAATCCCCCCC